CCCCCCTTGGTCCTGCCTCTCTCGCTCCAACGGCACGAATTTCCCCGAGGAGGTGATTTTAGGTCACGGAAGTCCCGATAAGCCGACGCACCAGGCAGACGTTCATCTTCGCTTTGAGGGAAGAGGTGGCCTTCTGTCGCGCGTCTGATTCTATACCTTCCTTCCTTCTTTTTTTCCTTGGCTGGCGAAATTGACGTTCACGGGATTCAGGAAGCCGACTCAGAGGAAAGAGAAGCACCCCGCGAAGGAGCTTTAGCTCGTTTTCGGCTCAGTGCGACGTCGTTATGTCGTCGTCGCGCGTGCAATGCTCTCGCGGATCTGAAAGTAGAAAAGAAATACGTTTTTTTAGGAGATTCAGCAATTTATCTTTATTATTCTATGTGTCGTTAGTTGCGCGAGCGCATGATTCAACAAATATCGAGAAACACTGAAGGCATCTTCTTTTCTTTTCTTCTCTTCTTTTCTTTCTTATTCTCTCTCTTCATTTTCTCTCTTCCATCAAGTACGAAAGGCGGTCACGAAATTGCGCGACTCCCCTTTATTTTTATAACACCTCGAGAGATTAACGAGCATTCTCTCGAGGAATTACGGTAACGTTGACAAGTCGTTACTCCCGGTCTTCTCAATTCATATTTAAAGTTTTTAGCGTCTAAATGAGTGATTTCATTCGCGCGAATTTCATTGTTAATAGGACGGATAATTAGCTTGTATAATACTCGTCGGGAGTCTGCAAACTCGTTTTTTGCTCGTCTTGTTCTGTCGCAAGTGCAATAACCGCTTCCTATTCAGAATAATTAACTGTCGAGTGCGCGCGATGAATCGAGCGGAAAGAAAACAGGATACGCTGAGTAATCTGGATTTGTCCGTGCTAGATTCCACTTCGGTGCTTTCACGTCGCGTCCAGAGTGTACTCAAAGCCTTTCATAAGAATTCTTTGACCACCCATCTGATGTTCCTCTGTGCGCGCGCGCAATCTGCTTAATATATAAATCAATTTCTTACACGAGCGATGGAAAAAGCCTGGCGTACTGCAGTGTGCTATCACTTTTCAGGCGAAAAATAGTTTGAGGTAGAACATGAGAGCTAAATACGCGAAAAAAAGAATATAATTAAAAACTTGATATTTCATGATAATTTTTTCCGCGCAAAATATAATGCAACGTTTATCAAAACATATGCTTGCTCAAACATATTTTTGCTCAAACACTTTTTTGTGCACACAGAGAGAATAGTTTTTTTTCCATATGAGTTCTTTTCAATTTTGTTATGTTTTTAGTAGTGCGCTGAAATAAATTGAGTAAAGTCTGTCTGTTTCGCTGTGGAACACATCAAATTTTTTAATGGTACATTTCACAGTGTTCTGAAAATATAAATAGCAGATATAAACATTACTGCAGAATGTGTGCATCGATCTATTGTTCGATTGCGATATTCTGCCAGTAATTTTCCCATAAAATTCTCTTGCGTGTAGACGGAAAATCTGTCTACAAATATTCTATTGACGGTCGCAATCGTAAACGTCAGATGAATGTATCATCGCACTACAAATTGTTCATACGTCATGAAACATCACATCGTTTTCCAACATTGCGGACCTGATGCAAACCGTTAACATTGCGCGCGATTCGTGAATGAACCCGGATGAATTGGGACACGACGAACGGTTCACGCGAACGAGCGACCCTCCGACGCGTGGACGACGCTCTGATCGATGCATTCTTCCCGGATTCACCCATCAGCCACTACGTCAGTTTGCCATTCAAAGTAAGGACAGGATATAAGAGAGCCGACGACGTTCAAACCAACTCTCTCGCTCTCTCACTCTTTTCCTCTCTTTTTCCTCTGTCCCTCTTCGTTCCCTCTTTTTCTCCTCATCCTTCTCTCACTTTCTCTCTCTCTCTCTCTCTCTCTCTCTCTCTCTCTCTCTCTCTCTCTCGCGCGCGCGCGCTCTCGTTCTCTATCTATCCTTCTATCTATCTGTCTCCGTCCGTCTATCTCTCCCTCTGGCGTGGTAGTTGTGTCATGACAGGGCCGTGTCAAGTGCACTCTCGTCGAGTCCGCGTAATTTATGATCCGCTATTTTTGCGGTACATTTAGGTCAATTATTCCGACGGTAGCGCCGGCCTGGTGTGTGCTACACGACCGTGAAGAAGACGACCGGGGAGAAGCCCCCGTTCGAAGATATCACTTTTATTCTTCGATGAGGGTGCCGGTATCAAGGACACGGGGAGAAAGGAGCGCGTGACATCGATTTTTCCTTCGCGATCAATATTAACGACGAGCGACGATAATTCGCATCGCCGGATATAACTAACAATCGTTGAACGAAATAACGAAGCTTCGATCGAGACGAATGCAATTTAGCGATACGACGTTATTCAGTCTTTTTTTTGTTGCAAATAGCTATTCACTGTGTGTGATGATAAATCTTGTAAAATTTAATTTCTTTATGCATGCATTGTCTGAAAATCTCATATGGAAGATATTGAACAGCGTTGACTTGCAAAACATTGCGATAATCGCGCAGTTGTTATTATCAAATTTTGGTAGCAAAAAATTATAAACTTCCGTTCAAGCAGCTACTGCACACGTTTTTGAGCGGAAAATGGGAGAGAGAGATGTTTGCTCGCGTCGTCAAAGTGAGTCACTTCCTGTGATCCTTTTATCGGTTTTGGCTTAGATGTAGTTGCTAGTCACCGGCGCGTCCCGGAAAGTCGCACTTTCGATGTCAACACGGCGTGTCCGCCAATAATGCTCCACGATCCAGTCATAGGATCCAGCTGCTTTACGCTTGCAATGACGAAGTTTGTCTCGCGCGAAATCACATTTGCCGTGTCTCGTCCGTTCTGCTTGGCAAAAATCCGATTTCTCCCCTTTACCGAGCACACGGAGAAACAAAAGTCGCCGTTGCTGCGTCTCCAAAGTTGATTTTATGCCTCGTGAATTAACCGCGCTTCGCCGTAATTACCATCGCGCACCGAGCTTCCGCGCCAGCGTTTGACGGAAATCGCATTTCTCTGTATGAAAATCCATTAATTTCAGTAAAAGTACGTCGCCAACATTTCGCAGAAAATCGACAAGCCACAGCGAACAACCGTGGGGGAGCGAACTTATTTTCCAGCTCTGAAAATACACACGCGCGCCAATTTAAGCTCTGAAATAACCTACGATTATGACAGGAGCCTAAGTGTGACAGTACAGAGTGTGACATTTGTGAAATTTGGAAGGAATAATTTATCCGAAATTAACGGAACGTTATTTGAAGAGAAGAGTAATTTTTACGTATTTATAACTGATTATATATATACGCGCACATGTCAGCAGTGGCTTTCAATTCTGACTACTCGAAACGTGCAGACTGACTTGTGACCGACTGTACACGCGAATTCGAAGTCCGTCGTTATTTTACAACGTCACACATCGAGTTTGCTCATCTCGCCCGCGCGGATAGAAATCGCCCAGTGTCGACTCATGAATCATAGACAAAGCTTATTTCGTTGCAGGCCCGGTCCTGCGTCGCGACGCGACCTTTTTTCGTCCAAAACGGATCTCGCCGTACGGAGAGAACACGTACTGTGCCAGCTCTCTCTCTTTCTTTCTCGCTCCGACGCGTCTCTACAGCGACGTTATTTATGCTCTCTTCATTCTTCTTAGATTCGTCGCATAGAACGTCGCGTACGTGCGCCGCCGTGGCGGCTCACGACGACTGACTACGAAATGTGTTCATTCTCATCCCTTACTCGCGCTGTGCAACGCGGCGCATTCGAAACGCATCTTCCATTTCGCGGGACACGCTTTGCCGACGCGTTACGGTGTTACGGTAGCACACGCATCTGTAGGTTCGTAAAAAACTAACAAAAATAACTGTAAAAAAAAACGTCAGTTAGAGAAAGAGAGAGAAAGAGAGAGGCGGAGGGAAGAAAATGGAAAAAAAAAACATCAGCGAACGCTTCTCATTCGGCACTGAAAAACGCGCTGAAAAACATAAAATTTCACGACCGCCCGTGGTAGACTGACGTAAATATGCATGTGGTCTACGATGTGTTGGACGCCGTCATGAAATTAAGCGGGAGGTACAGAAGCGTGACTGACTGGTAACGCTCCATTTTCCAAAAATTCCCGCGGCGCCGCCGCGGAAAGATAATTCGCAGATCCGGGTAAATAACACGGCCCGTAGAAACTTTGATTCTACCTTCAGCCTTACTATTCTATCCTATTCGTTCCTTGATATTCTGAAGCATGTAACCTATTTCAACGCTAAAGAAAATGAAAAGGGAAATTTCGAATAAAAATAGGAGCAAATTGTATCATTAGAATTAAATATATTTTGCTAACTTAGCAACTGCTACTGCATCGTAGAATTCAAGGTTTAACATGAAGCCAAAATCTCGGAGGGTGCGTTGCGGACATCTTAAAATCGGACTGGACACGTCCAGCGTACGAATCTCGCCGCAGCGCGCGTTTTGCCGCGAATGCGGTGGGCCGTAAGGTAATTTAGAGTTGAACACACAAAGAGTTACTCGTTCATCGTGATTTTACGGTACATTGACTCTTTCGCATTGACTCTTTCGCACTCTCAGCGTAGCAACTTTGCGTGAATCAGATTTTCGCCGACTGATCGATGATCGTGTCGCGGCTACTAAAATATGCCGTTAATTGCTAATTACATTGGCGATTATTTGCAAAAATATCACTGATATCGCTGCACTGCAGGAAATTTCGTGTCGAGTTTAATGCGTTTCACGTGTCCCAATCTACCCACTCCTTAATCTTTGTGTTCATTTGACACAACGCGAATGTGTGACACTTAACACAGCTTATCTATGTGTACACTCTACACATAAGATATGTCACTAACAGATTATGCACGGAAAAAACAATAAACACGGTCAATCCACGTATGAATATCATTGTATCAACCAGATTCAACAGTAAAATAGGGAACAATTGATTATACGGTTGTTGCAATCACAGAGCAATTGCCGAGTCACAGTGACCGTTTTTTTTTTTACTGCGCAGTTGCATTTGCAATTATTCACGATAATATCACTGATATGAGAAATTGGCGTGGGACTGAAGCACGCATAATTGAATTCTCTCGTCGAGGTTTCTCTCTTCAAACGTTTAAATGAGGTTTACACTGAAACCAGGAATCTTTATCCCAGACTTCGTTTCGAATCAGGCCATTGATTCGATTGCGACGCGTGTACATGTGTACGCGTGTGAGTGTGGATGGGTAGGTCGCGATTCTTGGCGCGGTTATCATCGAGCAGTTAAATAAGTCGTCTCACCGCACGACCTTTTCACATTTTTCACGA